TTTCTACCTTCTCCTCTCTGTCAACGCTCTCTGGTTTCATTTAAAAGAGTCGATCATCAGAAATTGTCCAAGATTAACCTTCAGGGTGGATATAGCTCACTAGCAGCCTCGCACCGATGACCTAGTTGATGTCATCATTTACCCAGAATGCTTTGCATGTAAATAAAACGGCCCCGTCCGTGTAATATATTTTTCAACTTTTAGTTTAAAATTATAAAAACTGAACATCCTACAGTATTTTTACAGTCTTTATTTTACAGTTAAAGTATATGTTTATCATATAAAGTCTAATGTTACAACTAATCGGGGATCCCTTTAAGAACAATTACACAATCCCCCCCAAAAGGTGGCATGTTGTGTGAAAAGTAAATAAAAACAGAATGCAATGATTGTCAAATTTCATAAACGTATRTTTAATACAAACACATTAAATGTCYAAAGTAAAAATTGTTCAGTTGTTTTGGGGAAAAAAACAGGGTCATATTTATTATGTGAGCACCCYCTCTTTTAACAACARTCTGTAAACATCAGGAACTAAAGAAGAAGGGAATGTCGTCCCATTCTTGTCTGATGTTGAGGTCTTGCTGTTTAACATTCCCATGTCCCCTTTTTTATAATGTGCTAAATGTTTTCAATTAGTGAGAGGTCTGGACTGCAGACAGGCAATTCASCATCTGGACTTTTCTACTGTGAAGTCGGGCTGCTCAAATATGCAAGTTCTTCCTTGAAAAAAAACATTGTCTGGATGAGAGCAAGCAGTATGTTGTTTTAAAAACTGTATATACTTTTTCATTAGAACTACCTTTTCAGATGGCTGCCCATGCAATARRCTMTAATGCAACCCCAYACCATCAGAGAGGCAGGCTTTTGAACTGTAAGTTGATAACAGATGAGATGGTCCCCATTTTCTTCAGAATGAAAGATAAGGTAACTGTGGTTTCCAAGAAGATTTTCAAATTTTGATTCGACCACAGAACATGTTTTCACTTTACCTCAGTCTAATTTAAATGGGCTTTAGCCTGAGGAACACAACTCAGTTTCTACATAGTGTTTACATATGGCTTGTTCCTTGAATGACCTTTAACCCATATTTGTGGATGTCAAAGTAAACTGTTTACAGACATGATTTGTGAAGGTGTTCCTTAACCTATAAAATAATGTCAACCATAGAAATACCTTTTATTAAATGCAGTGTTGCTTAAAGCTACAAAGATCACAACCTTTTTCTTTGAGCTCAGAGATTTCTCCAGGATCTTCATTTTTTTCTGATGTTATGAATTGTAGATGATGAAATATTCAAAGTCTTCCTAATTTTCTGCTGAAAATTTTCCGCCGTTTTCAGTTTTTCACAGTGAACCTCTGCCCATATTTACTTCTAAAGGACTCAACCACTCAAAAATGTTCTTTTGGTACTGAGTCCTCTTATTAAAATCAAATTAATTAGTTGCAAAATGCTTTTCCAACCATTTCTTATTTGTACCACTTTCATTAGCAGGCTTTGGTTGATCCTGTCCCAATTTTTATAAAGATGTGAACCTGCCATAAACTTCAGAATTTAGTTTAAACATTTGTAAATAATACAGTATATGGRTGTATGAGTTTTGCAAATCATTGCACTTTGTATTTCTTTCACATAAAGCTTCATTTTTGGGGGGTGGGGGGGTGTATGACTCTCAAATATCATAACTTTTAGATTTAAGAGYGACAAGAAATGCACTCAATTGTTGTTAAATGAAAAATGATTGTGTCTGCGAGGATGTTTGACCCGGTGTTGTCATGGTTCCCTCAGCAGGATGCCCCGTTGCGGTTCCGCTGTGGGTACCAGCCCTGAAAACGAGCTGGTTCAGGGAAGCCAAGGGGGAGGGGTGGGGGACGGTGAGTTGTTTTGCCGTGACACAGAAGAATGAGTGAAACTTGCTTGCCACCTCATGTTGTTGTGTTCTGCCAAAGACTGTGGCACGTTTGATTTCCACCCACAGGTTCTGTTTTGTCCTGTCAAACGTACAAAGTACCTTACTGTGTGAAAGTCGTGCAGCATTTRTCTCCTGCTCTGAGGCACTTCAGGCTTCTCACACTTTGGTTACAACACTGACACAGAGCAAACTCCCCAATACAAGGGGGAGCTGTTCGGTCATCGGCAAGCACCAAAACTGGTCAACACTAATTGTTCAACACAGATATGTATGTTTTCTACAGGCAAATACACTAACAGATACAATTGTGTTGATATTATGTATTTGTAAAATAGGTGTTACTCTTTGAAACACTCACCTGCACATCTTTATTCTCTGTTTGTTGTGGTTTCATTTGTTTGAGATAGTGGCGCACTTGTAGGGATGTCCTTTCTCTCTGAAACCTTCTGCCTTTCTTTTTGGCAGGATCTATTATCTGTGGAACTGTCTTTTCTTAGTTTTGCTTTGTAAACCATGGCACAACACAGGATGCATCAGAAAAAATGATACTCAGAAAAATCGCTATAAAATTAACATAGATAATAATTTAGAAAATATGGGCATAACCTTTGGTAGAGGGGATCATTCTGCTTCGAATGACACCAAAATCTTGGTTAACGCTTCACTCTCCTGTGAGCAGGGACAGTTGGAAATTCACAAAATCCATGTCCTTTGTACAAGGAAATGTGAGGGTTAAAATACAATCTGTGACATAAAATTTAAAGTTTAGATGGTGTTTTACACGTGTAGGGGTCACCTCGAGTGAAGAAACAAGATTTTCTGCCTCTAAGCAGGCCTCGGACAGGCCTGACAAGAGGACAGGAAGTCTGTTACAAACTGAACTCTATTTAGGCCATGACAGGTTGTTCTAACCTTGGAAGAGAACCCCTCAGTTCTCTTAATCAGATAATGGACAGAACAATCTCTTCTGTTCGTGATTCATTTGTCATTTAACTAAGAATGTTTATGCATTTGTTAAATCATAATAAGGACTGTCACAGGAAAAGTGGAACCACTTCTTTTCTCTTATCGTGCCTTAAAGATTTATAATGGTATAAGAAAATCACAGAGAATCTGATTACAATGTTTTCATTGTGTTTTTATGCAAATCACTGTTTTTTTTTTTTTTACTGTGAACACAGTAATATAATTGTGGATTTTCTTGAGAAAATCTTTCATCTATCTGGACTGACAGAATGGTTCAGAACTGATTATAAAACAGAAATGTTAATTAATCATCATAAATGTTTTGCAGTGATTTCTCTTAGAGTCTATCAGAAGGAAGCTAAAGAGGTTTTCATGATGTTTGTTGACAACCACAGAATTTAACCTTGACTGGCGCTTGCCTGGCAAATCTTTATCTTTCTTTCTCTGACTCATCTCTAAGCCTGAGGGTGGAACCAAAGTTCGTCTGTTCTTATTACTAACCCGGACGGCTTTGAAACACTCTGACTTCCTCACTCAAACAAGGAAGACGGCTGGATTCTCTTCGGAGGATCTCAGCTCTGGGCTGTAGATCCAATCCCACGAGCCATTTAGGGTGGATTTTACAGCCAGGGAGCCGACAAGCCTGTCGGTGTCCCCCCCAGAGGCTTCAAGCCTCCAAGCTTTTGTTTACCTTCCGATGGGAAGATGATTTTATTTTGAAGGAGAAACTGGATACGACTTGAATTTTTCTGGCTTGGACTGAAACAGACACAAAGTCACCTGAAAAATAACACCTGTTCATCAATGACCGTTAAGCGAGCCGACAACAGTTCACTGACTGATCGGAGGCGAACCAGCTTTTCTTCACAGCAGGTGCCTTAAGAAGCCATCATCAGGTAAAAGGCTGATGTGTTTGGGTGACGT